GAGGGAGGATGGATGGAGGGAGGGTAATTGGTGGGACCACACCTGTGGTGCATTTTACAAGGGGACATGTTAAATCTACTAAGGGTAGAATATAAATGTCTTAGCACAATAACTAAGAAAATGCAACAAAGGCTATGTTACCAGTTTCATGAAAGTATTTTCAAATTGTATATAAAACCAGCACATTGTACCCCATAATTTTATTAATGTACACAGTTATGATTTAATAAAATAGATAAATAAATCTCCCAGCCAGTATGAGAATGTCTTCCCTTGGCAAATACCAATAAAATGGAAAGTTAAATTGTGTGCTCTTAGAAGTTGCCCAAGAATGGCAGGGTTGCCCAAGAATGGCAGGGATGCCCTGAGGTAAAGTGGCCAAGTGGCGTTAGCCTCCCATGAGTTCATGTCAGAGTTCAGGGGACAGTGTGCGATTTTACTTAATTGTTCAACCGGCCACCTATGAATAACACTTGAAAGCTGGATCTCTAGCCAATTCATTCACACCAGCGCTTCAGAATCCATCAAGTTTCTCACAGATTCTACACAGATTAGAGAGTCTACACAGATTCACCACCTTGTCTTTCCTTTTATGTCTAAACAAGGGGCACCAATCTAATGAATGTGGCTGTAATAAGCAAAGGTAGGAAATAAGTTAGCTTCAAATTCTTTTTAGTTGTAAGAAGAGATAAATAATATATAAACAAATGAACCTACAGAGATGAAAGAGCATTCAGAGATTATATCTACCCTACTCTTATTAGATAATGCCTCCTAAATGTTTTATAAGGAACTCAAATTCAAAAAATTCACTACTCTCTCTCTCTGCCACCTCAAACCTGCAATTTTTTCTCAAAGGGAACACAATCAACCATGGTCGAGCAAGTCAGTCATCCTGACCTTCACCTGACCCTTTGCCAGCCATCACCAACCCACTCATGCATCAGATTTGCCCACTCTTTCTCACAGGCCCTGCCTATCAAAGTCTCAGCCAGTACCTAAATTAAGCCCTTTCAAGTCCCATAGGTATTATGCAACAGATTCCTAAGTCATCTTCTAATATCCCTCTCACTGCCCCCAATCCTACTCCATTATCCCCTGCAACCTTCAGAAATGCAGCCATCACATTGGTACCAGGGAGATCTTTGTCAAATACAAATCTTACCATGGCCCATCCCAACTTGAAACTAATAGTTTGTGATTACCTACAAAATGGTTGATACGCTTTAGCTCTAGCTCCTATCTACCCACCTGGCATCCCTTTCAAAGACAAGGCTCCATTTCCCCACTTTACGGCAGGTTCACTCCAGGAATATCATACTACCTGCAGTTCCTGGTCACGCCAAACTCATCTGCACCCCTAAGCATTTATATTTCTTCTTGTTGCCGTCTGTATGTACATGGCTTCCTTCCTTTATCCTATGCAACTAATGCCAGCTAAGTAACCTCAATTTCCTCTTCTGTGAAAGAGAAATAGTAGTACTTATTTCCAAAACTGTATTATGAGGACTAAATAATGTACATAAAAGACTTGGCAATGCATCTATTATATCCATAAATCTTACTTCTATTTCCCATTGTACATTTCACGTCTAACAAGACCTGGCATAAGTGGGAATGCCAAATCTTCATACATTCATGAGTGCATACACAAAAGGAAAAGGAACAAAACAGTTAAGAACTAGATTCCAAAGAAATAAAGTTAATAGGCATATACAGCCCTATTAGTCGATTGTTTATATGTTTATATATTATGCAAACTACTAAATTCAAAGATTGGATCTAAAAATATACTCAAAGTAAAGGTCTTAGGAGCACTAGATTTTTTTTTAAAAACTGATATATTTGAGAAATTTTAGAATAGTATAAAGGTAATATGAATACATTTTATTTCAGAAATAAATCTATGATGTAAAAACAATGTTATGTTTCTACTATTTTGAACTTCTAAGTCATTAAAAAAGGAAAACCACAGACTACCCAACTCTAACTATCTTGAACACCTATGTAGGTCTTCCAAGGTGCACGGAATACTAGATAAGGGAATTAGGATTTCCTGAATGCCAGTGAATTGCTCACTGGCTCACAAAGCAGCCAAGCAGTTTTGGATCTAGTTCTTTTTCAGTATCCAAAACCAAGACAAGAATCAAAGGAGAAAGGAAAAAAAAAAAAAAAAAAGAATCAAAGGGATCAGGAACTGAAAGACTAACCTAGAGCAGCTTAGGCCATGTGTACACAGGTTACTCTAATCTAAGATCCCAAGAGTGAACCATTAGCCACAGAGAGACTTGACTTTAAAAGTGAATGGCATGAAAAGATGCCATCAGTGAGCCTCGTCGCAAATTTACTTCTTTACAATGATTTGCTTGCTCTGCAGGGCCTTTGTAAATTATTACAGTGCAACAATTTCAAATCAACACAGAAAGCTTCTGATTAAATCTTATACAGTTTAAATACATATTGTAGAGGCCGGGCACAGTGGCTCACACCTGTAATTCTAGCCCTCTGGGAGGCCAAGGCAGGTGGATTGCTTGAGCTCACGAGTTTGAGACCAGCCTGAGCAAGAGTGAGACCCCATCTCCACTAAAAATAGAAAAACTGAGGCAAGAAGATCACTTGAGCCCAAGTTGGAGGTTCCTGTGAGCTATGATGCCACAGCAATCTACCCAGTCTACTACTTGAGACTCAGTCTCATAAAAACAAAAAGAATCTTTAAATATATATCATAGAACTAACTGTGATGCTGTAATGTTCATGAAGTTTCTAGAGATCAATTATGTAGCTTAGTCTTGCCTTCATGACATTTCTACTGCTCCAAATAACTTTTTCTTAATTTTTTTTTTTTTTGAGACAAGAGTCTTACTTTGTCACCCTCAGTAGAATACCATGGCATCATAGCTCACAGCAACCTCAAACTCTAGGGCTCAAGTGATTCTCTTGCCTCAGCCTCCCAAGTAGGTGGGACTACAGGTGCCCGCCACAATGCCCAGCTATTTTTAGAGACAGAGGTCTCACTCTAGCTCAGGCTGGTCTCAAACCTGTGAGCTCAGGCAATCCACCTGCCTCAGCCCCCCAGAGTGCTAGGATTAAATGTGTGAGCCACCAGGGTTGGCCCCAAATAACTCTTTATAAACAACATTATAAATAAAATTAAGTTCAGATTGTCCAAAATCTAAATTTCAAAGGTTGGTTATCTTAGAAATAAGAGCTATGAAAACCTTAAATTGAATTAAAATGTATTAAGTGGATTATTCATCTGTGAAATACAGTCAACTCTTGATATTTTTCAATGGAAGAGTACAAGCCAATGCACTTTTTTGGTTTTTAGGTTTTTTAGAGACAGAGTTATGCTATGCTGCTCAGTCAAGCCTCAACCTCAAACTCTGGGGTTCAAGGGATCCTCCCATCTCAGCCTCCCCAGTAGCTGGGGCTACAAGTATACACCACCATGTCTGGCTTTAATCCTAAATATTTTAACAAACTGTTTTACTGCCATGGTTTCCAAGGATAACTATAAAGCTACAGCAAGATTCAACACTCTGTATCTTTTTCTAACGGCACTTACAACTTTACCATGAATTAAAAAACTGTGGTTTTGATAGCAAACAGTCTTAGCGTTATACTGTGATAGAGATCACACACATAATTTTATAATGCAAGCCACTGGTCTCCTAGGTTTTATATATAATGGCCTCTATACTATTAGCATTCTTTGAAATTATCAAAATTAATGTCTACAATTGGAAAATGTGTTCATTTATAATATCTTGGGTAAAGAGTCTACATAATGGAAAGAATTGGCTGACATCACTGGGAAACTTACAAAAGAGATTCAAAAAACAGCCAAATGAGCAAGGATAAAGGGAATTATTTTTTGATGCTTGCTAAATCCTCATGTACATCACCACACCAGCATATCAAGATAGGGAAAAAATTCCTCAGATAAAGGAAATTAATTCCACATAAAACTATCCTTTGCACAGAGAACCTAAACTTTCCACTTGAAGTAATATAAGAATTGGTTTATCGTTACATGTAACTAAGTGCAAAAGAGGAAGAATGGGAGCACTGTATAAATTTAATAAAGCTACTAACTCATCTTAATCCTCCCATTTTCACTTGGAAAGGACCCTGAAACCTTATCAAGATTGATAAGTCAATCTGATGAAAAGTGAACTACAACTAAGGGACACCATTGTTGAGCAGTTAAAACACTTGTTTTAAAAACTATCTGGACTTCGACAAGCCAAGAAGATTGGCAAGATCTGAGAAATTAGTTTGGGGGGTAATTATCTTATTTACAAAAGACTGTGTAATACCATGAGTTTTTAAAGACTGCTATATATATTCAACAATTTTCTCTTTCCTACATTTTTGAGAAATAATAGCAGTCAAAAAAAGCTCATATTCGCCAACCGACTTCTGAAACAGTCCCAAGGCAAATTCAATTCCGAACTCTACAAGTTCTTTGCTTAAGAAAAACAGCTCTGCTGTGTTAATCTTTTGCATGAAAAAAATCGGAGCCTATGACCAACAGTTCCTTTCAGTAAAACTGGGCTGAGCAACTGGAAAAAGCCAAAGCTCAATCACAATATGAAAATACAGGAAACTTTGCAGGAAAAAAAAAGAAAAAGAAAGGAAACTAAGAGGAAAAAAAGTATGCTTTGGGCTCACATGACCACGATGAGCTGTTCCTGCTCTGATCTAATTTTAGCGATTTTGGATTTGGGGAAAGGCCCACTTTTACACATTCACTCAAGAAAAGGGAGTGCGCAAAAACCCGCCACGTCACCAGCAGCTGCGCGCGGGGCTCGTTCCGGGGACACTCCGCGGGAGGAAGAGGGACCACAGGAAAGGGAGAACTACAAAGGTGTGCAAGAGTTCGCGGAGGCAGATTCAGCTTACAGTTAAACTTTTTGGCTTTCAAATTCTGTAAGTCCCCAATCCTTGCTTTACCTTGTGGGCAAATCGGAGCGCCGCCGCGGGACGCACGGCCTTACCTGTTCCATGGCGACTTGTCAGGTCAGGGGAAGGTGATGCAGGACTGCAAGAAAGGAGACACCGCTCGTAAGCGAGACACTCGCCGCCCCTGGCCCCGCCCATAGTGCAAGTCCGGGGAGAAACCTGGGCGCTCAGAGAGTCCCGAGTCGGCTCCCCTCTCTGCAGGGAGTCCTCTCCCAGGTTGGGGGGCCACTCACCCAGACTGTGCGACTCAAGTGCCCGAACCTCCCGCAGAGCGGCGGAGCGCAGGGAAAGGCAGGGATGCGGGTAGAGAAGGACCTAGGCAGCTGCACCCCGACTGCTCCAAGCAACGGAAACGCCAGCGGCCCCGCCCCGGCCCCGCTCCTCCCGGCCCGCCCCTGCCCGGGCCCCGCCGGCCCGGCCCGCCCCTGCCCCGGCCTCAGCGCGCCTGCGTGGGGCGAGGCTCCTCCGAGGCGTCTGGTGGCCGCGCCGGTGTCCCGTGGGCGCAGCGGGCCTGGGTGGGGCGCGGCCGCAGCTCTGTCGGGACCGGGAGGGGGCGCCTCTCCGCGCGGCGGGAAGGGCTGGGGAGCTGTCCAGGACTCGGGTGTGGCCGCGCTTGGCCCAGCCGGCCCCGACTTTGCTGTGTCAGTGAGTGGGCGTCTTTGGGAGGCAAAAGAAAGTCGTTTCAGCCAAGCGCAGAGCGTCTCTGAGCGTGGTATTAAAAAAGCGTGAAGCTTTGGGGATCACTTCCCAAATTGGTTTTGTATCTCGGTGTTTCTTTTTAAGAGTCAGTGATTGCTTCCTAGATGGCCCCCCTCTTAAATTTATAGACGAGCCGAGTAGGAGTAGTACTTCAAAGCCTTTGCTCCAGTTTAATTTTTTTGTTTTGTTTCGTTTGGAGACAGGGTCTCTCTCCAAACTGGTCGCTCCAGCTGGAGTTTAATGACGTCAGTCATAGCTCACCTCAAACTTCTAGGTTTACGCTGTCCTCCTGCCTCAGCCTCCCCAGTAGCTGAGACTTAATATTTGACTTAAGTTTAAACGATGGCCTATATAGGTTCAACATAAAATGAGAGAGAAGAGTCTACAGGGTATTGTAGCAGGAATATGCTGGAAAAAGAAACAGAAGAAAGATGGTGCCCTTCTCAGCCTTACTGGTGTGGCAGAAGAGAGGCGTCAGAACCGGGGCGACAAGATAAGACGAGAGGACAAAAGCTTTCTACACTAGATGTGGTGTTCCCGACACATATTTTAGGATGAGAAATGCGAAGTGCTGTGGAGAGTCAAGAGACGAGATAAAGATCTAGTCTTCTTTGAGAACGAGAAAGAATAAATTAAACAGAGAACAAATGTGGTTCTTTGGATAGAAGTTCTGATTTGCTTTCACATGTGAACCACATGCTCAATCTGACTCTGACAAAGTCATAGCGGAGCAGTTGTTCTCTAGAAAGGGAGACAAAATCGCAAAGCATGTGGAGCTTGCCCCCCCCCCCCACACACACACACACCCTGCCCTCCAGGTGCTTGTGTCTGGTTGCCTTTCTTCTGAGAGCCTCCCCTCCACCAGCCCGGTGTCTCTTCGTGGCCTCTGCGCTTCTCCTGGGGCATCTTCCTCAGGCCCATGCATCCACAGACAGCCCTCCTGCTTAGCAGCTGACTCATCCTGCCCGCAGTCCGGCCCTCCAACAGTCTGAGGGACAGTGAACTGGCCCCCTGTTTAAAAGGTTTGAGGACTCCTGCTAGGCCATATCAAAGGAGCTACTATTGGTGACAGGCAGAAAGTGAAAAAGCATTGAAGACAGGGCTGTCTTCAGACCATAAATAGATTTTTAATGTGCCTCTATTATGTGATGTGTGCTGTAAAGAAAGGAAAGGAGTGCTAGGGATACCGGAATTTCGACTTCTCTCCTGGCTGGCTCGCCAAATCTGATACCTGACTTTCAGGTTCTTGGTCTCGGTGATTTGAAGAATAAATCCAGGGACCACAGATCAGTGGCAAGACAGAATTCATTTACAGAAAAAGAATACAAAAACACTAAAGTTCCCAGTAAGGAGAGAAAAGCTCTTTCTGTTTTTCTCTCCATCTAGGGGTATATATAGGTGCATGGGTTCCTTCTATATGAGGCCAGGAAATAAATGTACACAGTCCCTTCGGCTGGGGCAAGGTGAATGAATGTACTAATGAATGGACACAGTCCCTTCCCTTGGGGCAAGGTGAATGAATGTATTAATGAATGGACATAGTCTAATGTGGAATTGAGACCTAGGAAACTTACATGAAATTGACCTAGGCATAGGAAATGGGGGTTCCTATTTAGTCGTAAGTGTAAAGGGAAGGAGACACCAAGGTGCCAGGGTCTCGCCAGAAGTTTTCCCGTCCCTTTGGCTACTGGAGCTTCTGGTGGGGGGACGGAGGCTCCCCCTCCTTGCCTACGCTCCAGCCCGCTGGTTCCTCTGCCACCTGCCGCCATACCAACACTGCTAAGGGGAGGCAGTGGGTCCTCCCGCCTTGGTCAGCCAAGCTGGCTGGGCCGCCACTCGACCTGTATCACTAGGAAACGGGAATGAATGGAACACTATTCTGCAAAAGGTGGTCTGAGGCATTTCTAAAAAGACTTTAACAGAAACCTGGATTGGTATAATTTAATTGTATCTGACAACTATTGAGCACCTGTGGAAGAACCATACCTAAGAGTTTGCACTTTAATATTACAGATAAAGACCGTTTACAGACACTAGAATGAGAGACAGACCATAATTCATGGCGAAAATACATTAAATGCAATCAAAATGCAATTGGTTTCAGAAGAAAAATAGTTGCTATTTTTCCAAGGGATTAAAAAAAGATTGATTGACTCTCTGAAAGAAAATTGATGTGGCATTTGAATTAGGTATTGAGAGAGGATCTTTTATCAGACAGTGAAGGGGAGAAAGGGTGATCTGGTTAAGTGAACTACAAAACCAAAAAAGGAAAAGCACCTTTTTGTGTCTGTGTGAATTGAACTTTCTAAAATGCTTGAAGTGGAAGGTACTTAAAGGGAGATTACCACATAAAGATTCTGCTTTGAACCGGTTATGTAATTGATGGATTTTTGAGCAACTGATGCGTTTTAAATACTGAGTTATATACATAACAGCCATTCCAGAAGTCTCTTTACTAACTCTTGTCAACTTACATAAGAAAGAAAATGATATTTATATGGGAATGGATATTGCAGTGGGAATACGTATGTTATAGTAAATCATGTGTGTATTGGTGCAGGTAAAGGAAGATAAAGGTTTTCAAAGGAACAATGAGAAAAATTACCTCATTACTTTGAGATAATTATCCTTGGTAGAGGGATCAATAACAAAGGTGGCACTAGTCCAAGGTTGGCTGGCAGTTGTCTTCCCAAAAGTACTTTTTTGTGTAAGGTTGTGATGGCCATTGTCCAAAGTTGTGGTTTCTGCAAAAGTCTTTTATGGTAGTTCTTGATATCAGGCATTTGTGCATGAGACCATACCCTTCATGGTCTTCCCAGGCCACTTGTCAAGGTTTTGTTTTATTTTTGAACATAAATAACTCTATTTTAATTCTGAAAACTTTTGCACATTTAAATACAAGTGTCTGTAATTCATCCTCGGATGTATCTAATCAGTATCCAAATGTCATCTTCACAATCTCACCAGCTTATCTAATTAACTCTTTTATTCTCCTAACTAAACTTTTTCTTCCTATGCATTTAAAATGAAAGTTCATCTTAATGCCCTGTCTTTGTGTGGTGTTAATTATAAGTATCACGTGATAATTTTGGTTTGTTTGGTGTATTGTTCTCGAGTAACAAAATAGATTTCAGCAATCAGGTCACATCAATTTTTTTTAATTGGAAAAATATAACAAATGTCAGACAACTAACTTACAAACACGCTTTTGAAATTTATTTATAAACTCGGGATTTTCTGTATCTCAGTCTTTCCCTCAATTATTTGTTTCATTCAGGAGCCAGCTAATTTACTCCAAACAAGTCACTCAGCTGCTTCATGTGGCAGTTTCTACATCTCTCAAGTCTAATGTTTTGATCATATCTTCATTGCCCTGCTGTTTCTTTTAATTATACTGATCCATAAATAGGTAAAAAAAAAAAAAAAATGAGTAGTGATCTTTGAATAAGTAAAAGATAACTTACCTCTAATTTCAGAAAAATGATTTCTATATTATGGGTACAGATTTCATTTGTAGATAGATTTCATTTGTCTTTTCAAAGAACCAGCTTTTTGTTTTGTTAATCCTTTGTATTTTGTTGTTGTTGTTCTTGTTGTTCTCTAATTCATTTTGTTGTGCTCTGATTTTTATTATTTCTTTTCTTCTTCTAGCTTTGGGTTTGGTTTGTTCTTCCCTTTCTAGTTCCTTGAAGTATGACACTAGGTTGCTAATTTGTGATCTTTCTGTCTTTTTGATGTAGGTATTAAAGGCCATGAATTTTCCCCTGAGGAATGCTATAGCTCTGTCCCAAGGATTCTGGTAATTTATGTCTTTTTTGGCAGTCAGCTCAAAGAATTTTTTGATTTCCTTCTTCATTTCATTCTCGACCCAATAATTATTCATCAGAAGATCATTTCATTTCCATGACTTTATGTAGTTTTGAATGTTTCTCTTGTTATTGATTTCTAGTTTTATTCTGCTGTGGTCTTAGAAAGTACAGGTATGGTTTCAATTATTTTGAATTTGATGAGACCTGTTTTGTGATATAAATAGCCATTATACAATGACCCTCTTTACCTTAGAATTGTCATTGTTTACCTTTGCTGGCTTAAAGTCATTTTTATCTGATATGAGAATGGCTCCTTCTGCTCTCTTTTGATTTCCAATTGCACGGAATATTTTTCCTTCCTTCCATTAGTATTGAGTCTGTGTGTGTCTGTGTGTGTGTCCTTGTGGTTTAGATATGTTTCCTGGAGACAACAAATACTGGGGTTGTGTTTTTTCATCCATTCAGCCAGCCTATGTCATTTAAGTGGGGCATTCAGAATATTCAGAAGAGTCTGACTCCTGTATTTTAGAGAAATGTAAAATTTTTGACTAGTTTGGTTTTTAAATCTATTTTATTTGATAAACATATTTATTGCAAATTGTAGTTAGTTAAAGAAGTAGGAAAGAAGACACAGAAGTAAATTGCAAAAGACAGAAGAAAAAGGAGAGTGGCTGAGGCTTAAGGTAGAGGATAGATACAAAGAAAAAAAGGAACATCCTGCCTTCCAGACAAGAGCTAGAAAGCACGACCTCTGAAGGGAGAGGGAATTGAGTTTTAATCTCCACTTTGATTACAACCAGACATGTGGTTTGGACAAACTGTGTGACTTCTCTGTCCTTCACTTTCCCTATCTAAA